ACATGATGAAAATATCTGCTCCCTGCCAGCCAAAAACCCTAAAAATAATAACTGAGCAGAGCTGTGCCTGCAGCCAGCGATGCATACGAGATGATGGCCTTCTCAACACGAGAGCAAAAGGGCAAATGAATCACATTACACTCCATGAATAAAAACAGAGTCTCAATGCACAGCAACTTAATGATTCCATTCTGGATGCATGAGACAGTTTGGCCTCGTTTGCAGAGGTGCTGAGCATTCCCAAGTCCCACTCAGCTCCTGGGGACAGCCAGGACTCCAAACTCCCCTGAGATCCATCCACTCTGAGGAAATCTCCCACCTGGCAGGGAAGGCTTTCCCTGAGATCTGTGAAATGAAAAGCTCCCAGCAGTTGGCCTGGGCTAAGGACCTTGTATCTCGACCTGCTGCACCCAAATCCATCACTGGGAAGGTGGGATTAGGGGCTGCAGCTCTGTTTGAACTGTGCTTTTATTTCATGCAAAGTGAAGAGGAACAAGCCCTGCCCACGATGGAGCAGAGAGAGTCCTGCACTCCCCAAGATGTCCCCACTGGCACCAGGAGGCAAGCACAGCGTTTCCCAGCCCACCCTGGCACAAGTGCACAGGTGGTACCCTGAGGAGGCACCTGACATGGAGAAAGCAGCATTTCCTCCTCACCCAGGTGCTCATGGAGCTGTTACAGAAAAGCACATTATGGAGAGATGGCAGAATAAACCAAATCCGACTGTGGTGACATTATTGGGAAGGGGCTGCTGCACAGCACAGCACCCAGGGAGAGTGGGAATCACCTCCACTGGGACCCTGCTGGGGTGCTGAACATGCCACTGCCCCTTCCTGGGCTTTCTGGGCTCCCCATGGCATTTAAACCCAATCCTGTCTCCATTTTGTTTGGTAAACTTTGCTATTCTCTTCTGAACATCCCCCTGGAAGGGTGGAATTTCCCACAGCAGCTCCAGTGCCACATCCCTGTCACATCCAACACGCAGGCAGTGCTGGCAGGGTGAGCTGCACCCCAGCCTGGCACCAGCCTTCTGGGAGGGACTGAAAATCCTCCATACCTTCACTATTTTCCTACATCTGCTTGGAAAATACAGCCCAGGACAACCTCTTCCAAACATCAGTCCTCTGGCAAACAAAAGGAAGTCAAAGGCAAACTATTTATTGCCAAACCCTCTTCCTTCGTTGTAAAATACTGCTTAATTTTATCCCTCAGGCATCTATTATCTCATAGCCCATATTATTTTTCCAGCTATTACTGCTTAATTTTCCCCATCCAGAAAGTCCGTACAGACACCAGCCAATTTCCGTCTTGGCATAATTGTTTAGGAGAAACAAGCAGCTGTTTCACTGGGGTCCTAAAGAATTGATGGGGAATCAGTGCTTCTCCTTTCTTTGTTCACAAGAAACCTTGGAGGAAAGTCCCATGTCCTGTGCCACCAGCACTGTCACCCTGCCAGGGGACCCTGCAGAGGGAGGAGAAGCTGGGGGCATCCACCAGACCCCTCGCATACCACCCCACACTGTGGTGGAAATAAAGGTGAGCATAAATATTTTTTTAAAAAACTTTAAATAAAAGCTGCTGATTGTAATCAAAGCTTAAAACAGAAAGTAAAACCTGTGGCTAATGGAATCTGCCTGGACTGCTTCTGTTTCCCATTTCTGACAGAAATTGTTTTACCTCTTGTTGGTTTGGTGGGGTTTTTTTAGCAGCAATGCTTCTGTGGGAGCTGAAAGTATTTCAAAAACTACCAAAACTGGCCATGCAGGTAAACACAGGACATTCTCCAGGCACAAAGTCCATAAGCCTTGTTTTATAGAGACTTTGGAAAAGTGGTTACCAGCATCAGCTGGCACAGGGGGGACCAGCACACAGCTGACAGGGGTGGAGGTTTGCAGGAGAGCCCCCAGGAAACCATCTGTGATTCCCAGACTAGCATGGGGCAGATAAAGGATGGCAAACAAGCTTAGAAACTCTCACTGAACAGAAATTATTGAGGCAATTAAGAAATGCACAAAATGATGAAATATTGTAAAGGCACACAGGGAATGAGCAAGTTGCTGTCAAAATCTGTGAATGTCCAGGTTTGTCTGTGTGGATGAGATGGACAGAACCAGGAACCCCTCTGGCCTCTACTCCCACCAGCACTGCCATGCAGGGGTGTGCCACAGAAACACGGAATATCCTGAGCTGGAAGGGACTACCAAGATCATTGAATCCAACTCCAAGAGGGTACAATCCCATCTTGTCCCTTGGAGCAGTATCCCAACCCTCCTGCAGCTCTGGCAGCCTTGGGACCATTCCCTGGGGAGCCTGGGCAGTGCCAGCACCCTCTGGGGGAAGAACCTTTTCCTTATATCCATCCTAACCCTGCCCTGGCCCAGCTCCAGCCCTTCCATGGGTCCTGTTCCTGGGACAGGGATGTATTTCAGCCAAATTCCAGTTTGGGTTGAACATTTGCTGAACCACTGCTGACACACTCTTCCCTTCAGACACAGCTATTTATGGCAGTGTTGGGATCCTGGCTGCTTGTGGAGTTGAGTGTTTTTGTCACGAAGCACCTGCACATCCAAGGGTTCCCTGGTGAGTGGGCAGGAAGGCATTTGTGATAATGTAGGGAATGGGAAAACATTTCTTAGGGACCATGGAAGAGCCTCGATGGGCTCAGCACATGGACATAGAACAGAGCATCCCCCACATCCTCCTTCTTTTTAACACTTTATTGCTCCTAAAAAAAGTCATTTTCTTTTCCCGTCCTAGCTTTAGATGCTTAATTAGAAAAGAAGCTCCCAAGGTAATGGGAAGCATCAGGGCTTTGCTCCAGCCTTGTCCAGTGGGTGTTCCCAGAGCAAACAGGAGCTGCAAGGTAAGGCTGGATGGCAGTGAGTCAGGGAGGCAGAGAGGCGTGAAAACAGGATGAATGGGAAGGCAATAAACCCACAGTATCTCACTGAGGGACTCAGCTCTGCATCACCTCCATCCATCAGCACGAGCAGAGCCAGCCAGGCTGAGCTCACACCAGTGGCACTGGCACAGCAGGGGCTGTGGCCACGTGGGAGCATCACCAAGCCATGGGCTGGGGCCACCACGAGCTGTGGCAAGGGCACCCAACATCCACCACCTCCAGCAACTCAGACCCCCCTCCAGAACAGGGAAAACACTCCAGCTTTTACCAGGATCTCACACGAGGCACGAGAGAAAAGGGATAGGGCAAATCCCATAACCAGGAAAAGGAGCAACCCAGGAAAGGCCCTGATGGTGGGTGCAGGATTGAAACTCTCCTGCTCAGGGATCCTGTCCAGGAAGGATGAAAAGGGCTCACCTGTCCTGGGTCTGACCTGCTTTAGGAAAAGGAACCTGAGCAATATGTTTAAAAAGGAAAGTTGTTCCCTGCAAAAATCTGGGAAACAATTCAAAGAAGCAAAAGAGAAAAAGGTCACCCCCAAACTCCCCCGTTTCTCCTGGAAGCACAAAGCATGGCAGCTTCTTTTTGGAGCCAAGATGGGAAACCTCCTCTCTCTCTTAATCTACAAAGAAATTATAAAGACATCACCAAGAAACAGAGGATGGGAACTACCTCAGTGCTTTATTTTCTGGAGCTCCCATCCATTTCAGAGTCACTTCTTTTTCAGACAGGTTCCTGCACCTCCTGCCATCACTGCCCATCTCTTGCTCCAGAGATCCAGCCACAATTCCACAGCAAAAACAGCCATGCACGAGCTTTGCCTGCACATCAGGCTCGTGGCACTTCACAGAGAGCTGGCACCCCAAAACAAAGAGCTCTGCAGCCTCCTCAGCTGGTAGGTCCAGCTGACCCAAGCTTGCACACAGGTGGAGGCACCCACCCAGGCTGTGAATAAATCCCACCACTCTCTCCCCAAAAAGAAGCAAATTCCCCATTAGAGCTGCAGCAAACTCAGGCAATCAGCAAGAAGGAAGCTTTTTAAAGAGATATAACCCAGGATTTCTGTGTTGAAACACACGCCACAGATGGTGGAGCAGACGAGGATTAATTCATGAATCATATTTCTTAAATGATACAATCTCTCTTTTCACTTCCATACTTTCCCTTTTTGACTCAGAAGCAGGGATTTAAGATGCCCTTCCCAGATATGAATTTTGCATGAACAAACATTGCAGGGGTAAAAAAAAACCCAAAAAAACAAGCCCACAACAGCAATAAACCAGAAAACCCAGATGTTTGAAGAGAAGTTCTCAAATACAAGCAAAGGCATATCCTGTCCATCTACACGAGAACATGTGTGGAAATACAATATATGCAAGCACAGAGCTGGGAATGGGGTGGGAAAATGAGCTCCCCACCGTTTGGAGCTCACTAATGCTTCAGCCAGGGTTCTGGATTTCACAGAAGCTGATTTTCTATCTCCTCCTATCTCATCCACCACCCTCGCAGCAAAAGGAAAGCCTGAAGGCAAACATTTCCAGGGAGAGGCCTCCTGGCTCTGCCAGTCAGTCTGTGCCTCCTCCAGCCCCCATCAACGCTTCCCTTCGGAGAATCCCGGCACAGCTCGCTCTCCAGGAAAAGCTCCCGGAGCCGAGGGACTGCAGAGAGCAGGAGCAAGGCAAAACATCCTGCCCCACGCACACAGCTCACCACCCCAGCTGAGAGGGGTTTGAAGTGGGGAAGAGAGAAGGAAATGACACAAGAGCCCTTCAGCAGCGGGAGACTCCGAGATCCCGGCTCCCTCCCAGCTGGAGAGCTCCTTCAGACCAGCCACAGCCCTGCCAACCTGGGCAGAGCCTCTGCCTCCCCCAGGCAGGAGCAGACGGATCCAGGGCGAGCAGAACCAGCACCAGCACTCCAAACTGCCCCTCCCGGGCACTTTCTCACCTTGCTTTGATCAGCAAAGCAGCATTTCAGTCATTTTTTCCACTTTGCACACGGAGCAGCTGTGTGTGTGCTTAACAGCTTCTTTACACAGTCTTGCACTTCCTATTGTAGCTTTACACACAGAATAAGAGTGAAAAAAAAAATCACTTACCCTTCAATTATTTCAACCTTTCCCTGCTCTGTGCGTGACGTGGGCTTCTCTTTTGGTTACTATTTCCAGATTTGGTCTTTGGGTAGGTGAATGGAAGAGGAGAATGACAGGAGTTGTATTTGATGACGATGGAGACTGTAAAATAAAGAGAAGCATTTTCAGCACAGAGCAGTCCTCCCCTATACGTACAGATCAGATTATATTAAATTAAATTAGTGACACCTACATAAATGCTTCCTACTGTTTTTATGCACACATACAAATATCACAACTGTCAAGGAGAATGTGGTTGTCAGTGATACGGCAGGGGGGAAAAAAGAGCAATTTCTAAAATGGAAGGGAAAAAAGGAAATCTAGGCTAACAACCAGCGTTTGAGCAGCAGCAAAGGGGCTGCTGCTGGTCTGCAGGAGGGCCAGGAGGAACTGCTGGGAGCAGTGGAAAGGGCTGGAGCAGAGGATAGCATGGAAGGAGCAGGGGTAGAGAAACTGCAACAACAACCCTGACAGAATGCTCCTCTGCTTCCCAAAATACCACCTCAGCTTGTGAGGAAGCAAGGAAGGAGCTGAGAGAGAGCTTCAGGAAACACAATGCCCCCATCCCCTGCAACGATGGAAGGACTCCTAGCACGGGAAGGAATTAATAACGTGGTCATCGTAGCAGCAAGTACCCCCCTAAAAAACAGATTAATCTGCCACCATCTGCTTTAATAGCAGAATTTCTGCTAAGTGGTTTTCCCCTACACAGCCCCACATATCCATGTAAACAGACAAACAAACCATTTGGCTTCCCGCAGTCCCGGGGAACGCAGCTGCTCCGAGCAGGGCTCGCTGCCTTTGACACGGTGCCAGGGTTGAATTCCTGCCATCCCATTTACTCCCACACCTCTCCCCACACCCTGCTCCTCTGCAGCCTCCTTAAGGCTTGGGGTACCCCCCAGATCACTGCCCATCCAACATGGCAGCCTGGGAGCCTCAAAATATCCTTTGACTGTAGCTGAGAAAAACAAGGAAGGTGAGGAATGAGAGGAATGGACTTCCATGCTATTATTTTCCTCATGGCAACGCTCCCATCCTCTGTAGGCAACTGGCACCTCCAGCACCATGAGTCCCAGCCCAAACACTGAAAACACCCCAAAAAAAGCATATTTACAAAATCACTTGGAAGATGCCATGGCAGGCAGTGGAAAAAACCAACCCCTCGAGTCAAGGAGATTTGTCTGCTTGGTTGGAAAAACACAAAGGTCACCACAAGGAGTATATAAAAATACATGCTAACATTGAAGAGGTATAAACATAACACTAAATAACGCTTTTTATACCCAGCTCAGCATTTAACACTTGCCCAGAGGCCTTTGATAAATCCCAGGTGCCTGAACAAAGCAAAGAAGCTTTTTCATAGCTATTTAGCAAAACAGGGAAAGTAAAGCACAAGAGAATAAAACTGTTCAAGACATCAAGGACCGAGTGAGAAAGAAACAGCCAGGTCTCCACATCCAGCTCTTCCATCGCCAAATGCCCTGCCAGGCTGCTGGATGGAAATAGAAATACTATTGTTAGCCCCAAGCCATGCAGACTCATTAACATTTATTTTAGTGCTATAAAATATATTTTTAAATACTTGAAGAAATAATCTGGAGGAAGTGCTAAAAGCTCGGAGCGTATTTTCAATATGTCCCAGCTTTTCCAGGGAGATTTGAGACCTCCTGGAAAGACAGTGATTATCTCAGAGGCTCTGGGAGCATGAGGGTACCTCCAGCCACCCAGCAGATGCAACTCCCTGCCCTTGCTTTTGCTCACAGATTGTTCAATAAGAGGGAAGTCTAAAAACATCATTGATTTTAATTACTCGTGGACAGCAGAATCCCCAAAGTATCGTTTCCCACGTTTTTAATGCGTGTGGGTGTTTATATGCAAATAACACTTGGAAACAGAGGAACCTGATGCCTGTGGGGTCACCTCCTCACCAGCAGAAGCCCTTCAGCAGGAACAAATCCTGCTGAGCACCTTCCACAGAGCCCCAGGTGCCTCATCCCAAAAGTTCACGGAGACAAAGCATGTCAGAATTATGAGGAGCATCTCCCCATCCTTGTGAAGAGCAGCAGCCCCATCGATCCTCCAGCTCTTAGGAGAGGGGTTTGGGGCTGAGAGGAGCTGTGGTTATTCCAGAGGTACCCATAAGCACATCCAGAGAAAATCGTGGTGTGGGAGAAGAGATTCAACAGGGAGCAGGATCCAGAGGCACACGGGGACACACAGAGCACAGTGCCCTGTTCCTGCCACACCCAAATGGATCAAGCATATGGAGGATCCATTTTATCTTAAATAAACACTTCATAACACAACTCCTGTTTTCCATCTGACCCAGCCAGCCTCGCATAAAATAAAATGTGAGGAGCCAGCGATGGAGAAGAAACAGTTCTCTCCCTCTTCCTTGTCAAAATGTTCCTGGAGATTTCATGTTTCACAGGCTCCTCATGATTTTGGACGGGTCTTTAATCGGTGTTTGGTGGAGGAAACAAAGGACCACGACCATTTGTGCAGTTCCAGAGCAGGTTCAACTGATTCCATGTGCTTTGCCATGCCAAGCTTGGAGACACCACCTTCCCCAGCATCCAGAGGGCCAGCCTGGCACGGGGCACTGGCCATGGGATGGCACAACAGAACTGGAGGAGCCATCCCAGGTTCCAAGGCACTGGTTTTCCCCGTGCTCTGGAGCTCAGCCGATGGCAGCAGTTTGGGCGCCCGTCCCGCAACAAAATCTGCACGAGCTGCACCAGGCACCAAGTTCAAAGTCAAAAGGAACATTTGTTCTACGAGAAAACACATTGCAAACGACCCCTAACAAATTGCAGCTGCTGGAGCAGCCAGCTCAGAGCACAGCAGCATCTCTCAGCCCTGTTGTTACTGCGGGCTCTGTGCTGAACGTGTGAGTGGCAGCGCAGGCACAGCCACAGTTTGTGTTTCAGTACAAATTACAGAGCAGCACCACAGACCTGGAGAGGCAGCTCTGCTCTTCCCTGCATTGCTTCCCTCACGTTTTGATGCCCATTAAATTCCTTCCCATTTAGTTGCTTTATTTCAGCTCCTGGCTGCATAAAATTGTTCCGCGAGCGCTGAAGCTGAATAAATAATGGCAAAACTTCCCCTGCAAAAACTGCAAGAGCTGTTATGTAAAGCAGGGAGGGGATCAGCAGATAGAGACAACTTGGAGGCAACCTGAGGGTTGGGATTCTGTGTCAGCTCGATACACAGGGGAAATAACCCTTTAATCCAGTGCAGTGTATTTCATTTACTGTAGTGTTATCCAGTTCGAAGATGTTATGAAAGGAATCCCTGGAGAGACTTAAGACTTCAAAACCAGCCTGAGTTTGAACTTAATTCCACTGTTGCAAAAGGCTGGAGCTGTGGAAGATGACCTTTTCCATACCTTGGATGCCAGGAGCCATCCTGCCTCATAATGTCACGCCAAATTAGAATATTCTCTTTTTGTTTTACTCAGGATTTTGTTTTGTCGTTTCTTTTTAATTAAAAGCATCTGTCACTGTTAATGAAATGGGAGGAAAGAGAAGAAAAAAATATCATAACACAAAAAAATTAAAGCTGGTGGTGTCCAGAGAGATGGAGAGAGTCAAAAAGCTGGATAATTAACAGAGGAACTTTAGCTCCCCATGAGATCATCACCAGAGCCCAGGTCAGGATCAAAAGATCACCAGTGCCATCTCCTTGCTGCTCATCACCTGAACAAAACAAAGGGATGCTCCCCGAATACATCTCCCAGATCCCACTGGCAGCAGGGCCTTGGGTGGTCTCTTCTCCAATAGGAAATGAGGGGGAAAACACTTTTGAAGTGCAAATCCCAAAGTTGTTCAGGTCTCGCCAAGGTTATACTGAATGAAAGTTCAGAAATACTTGGAAAAACCAACCCATAAATCCATGTTAGTGAATCAGAAGCTGGTGGAACCCCAGGGATGGAGGTGTGTGGTCTCATCTTTCACCAGCTGCAGGAGCTTCCCTGCCCAGGGGGTGTTTTTAAGGAACCCTGCAGGAATTCATTGAACAAGTCATGGAAATCCCAATTAAAGTTATTCACTACTGTTAACTGCTTCCATGGACTTTCCTGTTTGGAGGTGAACTATAAAAGGCCAGTTTTCACTTGCAGCATCTTCCAAGTCAGATTGTTAGTGCAATTAAATGTAAATTTGTATTTTCCAAAAATAGGGTTCCCCCACAAAATACTAAATTAATTACAAAATGTATTCCTAATGTGAAATTATTTAGCCTGTTAAAGCGGTACAAACAGCTTTATTGGATCATTAATGGTTAGAAATGTTCAGTCAGCACAGTTGGAAAAATGTAAACTAAATATGTCAAGGATACGTTGCTTTCTCCACTCACTATTTTTTTAACATCTTATTTCATGGTAGATAAGTGAAAAATCTTTTTACCTGACTTAGTAAGAGGCTCATTTACTCATGCAAATTTAAAACCAAGTGTCATAATACAATGAAATTATAAAAACATATCAAAGAGGAGTTAGTGAGTCACTAAATTTAGCTCCTAATGGAGTTCAAGCTGTCTTATACAGTTGTATGTTAATGGGAAGAGCTCTGGTGGTCTGTAAACATCAGAGCAGAGCTCAGCAACCATCCCATGTGCCTGGGGTTTCTGGAGAAGCCCTTTGGGTTTCCAGCCCTCCATACCTGAGTAAATCTAAGGGAAACTCAGATTTTGATCCCAGCCAAGGCAAGGAATACAGCCAGCATTAAATAAATTAAAATCCATTGCCATGAGCTCTGGGCAAGCCCCAGGTTCTGCAGAGCCACATCCCAAGCTCTGGTACCAGACCTGAGGTGATTCACAAGTGTGATCCTCAGCATCCATAGGGATTTTCCTAATCCATACAAAATATAAGGGCTGACATAGGGAAACACTGACTTTGTGGGCTGGAAGATACTGAGCAGCACGAGGGCTTGGCTGGGAATCTGGGCAGATCCAAGCAACAAATTAAAGTGGTGCCTCTGAAATAACAGCAGCAATTTGGGTGCTAGGGCAGGAGCAGGATCCTGGGTGGGTTTTTTTTCACTCACTGATAGTCCAAGGACAGCACTAACATGAAGTCCTTACTTTCTGGAACA